CTTGCGGTCCCTGCGTCGAGGGTCGGCTGCGCGCCACCCCTCACTCCTCCTCCCTTCGTCCGGCCACCGAGCCCTTCGAGACTCTCCACTTGGACGTCTGGGGCCCCGCCCCTCGCCCTGGCCCTGAGCGATAGGGTTTCTTTCTGGTGGTCGTTGACGACTACTCTCGCTACATCACAGTGTTCCCCCTGGCAAAGAAGTCTGAGGTGACTTCTACGCTGATCCGTCGTGTCAACTGTCTTCACTCCGACCGTGGGGGTGAGTTTCGCTCCGGCATTCTCGCCGGATTCTGTCGCGAGCAGGGCATCCGTCAGTCCTGGACGCTTCCAGAGTCCCCACAGCAGAATGGGGTTGCTGAGCGCCGCATAGGCTTGGTCATGGAGATTGCACGCACCTCCATGATCCACGCCCGTGCGCCCCATTTTCTGTGGCCTTATGCGGTTCGGTACGCCGCTCACCAGCTGAACCTCTGGCCACGTGTCTCTCGGCCAGAGGCTTCACCGACCAGTCTTTGGACCGGGTCCCCTGGTGCTGCGTCGCGTTTTCGTGTCTGGGGCTGCTTGGCGCTTGTTCGCGACACCTCCGCGGATAAGCTCTCTCCTCGCGCCCTTCCCTGTGTCTTCCTTGGTTTCCTCGTCGACTCCTCTGACTTCACCTTTTACCACCCTCCCCTTCACCGGTTCTTTGACTCCCGCGACGTTCGTTTTGTCGAGTCAGTCCCCTACTACACCCGGTACCCCTGTAGAGATCTTTCGGTTCCTCCACCCCCTCTCTTCCTGACTCCCGCCCCCCCTCCTGCCCCTCCGGTACAGCCCCCCCCCCCTGGTCCAGCCCCGTCAGGTGTGTCACACGCTACCCCTCCCCCTTCGGTAGCCGTCCCGTTCCCCACAGTCCTCCTCACAGCCTACTGCAGACCCTGCGGGAGCAGGTGCTCGTGTCGAGGACCCTGGGGGTGCTACCTCTGGAGGGGTTGGAGGTGGAGCTGAGAGTGTGCCTCCACGAGGTTCTGGTGCCGGGGGTGCTGGTGTTGGAGCTGAGCCCGAGTCTGCAGCAGGTTCTAGTCTTCAGGGAGCTGGTGTTCGTTGCGCTGTCCCTGGGGGTGCTACGACTGGGGGTGCGGGTGCGCCCCCTACGGGACCGGGAGAGTCTGGGACTGGCCGTGTTGCTGCAGGTGGTGCTGGCTCTGGAGGTGGTACGACTGGTTCTTTGGGGAGCGGTCCTGGGGCACTGCTCCTTCCCCCCCCACCCCTACCCGACCCGGCACCAGGCCCGTTTTCGCCGTGCCCGTGAGGAGCAGCTGGAGTTGGAGCGAGAGGAGAGAGAGTTGGAGCGGCAGCAGCTGGAGCTACAGCGGCTGGAGGAGGAGCAGCAGCAGCAGCCGGAGCAGCAGCAGCAGCAGCAGCAGCCGGAGCAGGAGCAGCCGCAGCAGCAGCCGCAGCAGCAGGAGCAGCAGCAGCCGCCGCAGCTGGAGGAGCAGGTGTCGCAGCCGCGTCAGCAGCAGCAGCAGCCGCCACCTCCTCCTCCTGTCTCTGGTCTTCGGACCCTCGGTCTCCCCTCTCCCTCTCCTCCCCCCTCTCCCTCTCCTCCTGTCTATGGTCCCACGTTTCCTCCTCCTGACCCCACCCCAGCTGTTTTCCCTCGTTCTCAGCCTCCGTTGTCCCCTCCTCTTTCTCACGCTTGGACTTCTCGCTCTCCTCGTGCTCGTCCCTCGTCCCCTGTCCCTCTCTCAGACCTTCGTACTGTCCTGTTTCGTTCTAGTCCGCCTCGTTCGTACTTCCTTCTCCTCCTGAGTCGGCTCTCACTGCTTCCTTCTCTACTCCTGTCACTGACTACTACCGCACGTACCGTCCTGTTCTCTCTCGTGTTCTCGCCTCTCTTGTTACCGACCCAAGTACTTTTGTGTCCTCTGTCTCCGCTCTTACTGCCGCAGTCACTGAATTTGCCTCTACTCGCCGCCTTGACTACGCCACCAGTCTTGTGGCTGCTCCTCCTACCAGTCCTCTGGCCGTCGGGGGTGAGTTTGCCCTTGGCTGTGACGCCCTAGAGGACAGGCAGTTTGAGCTAGAGTTCCTGGCAGCCGCTTCCCCTCATCTCTGTGCCATGCTGCTCGCCCCTGAGGGAGACCCCGACACCCTTGACATACCGACACCTCGCACTTACGCTGAGGCAGTGTCAGGGCCTTGGGCCTCTCAGTGGAGAGCTGCCATGGACTCAGAGATGGCCTCCTACAGATCCACAGGCACTTACGTCGACGAGGTTCCCCCCCCCTGTGGCGAACGTAGTCGATGGCATGTGGATCTTCAGGGTGAAGCGGCCACCGGGATCTCCTCCAGTCTTCAAGGCGCGCTATGTGGCTAGAGGTTTCAGTCAGCGCGAGAGAGTTTACTTCTTTCAGACCTTCGCGCCTACCCCGAAGATGACCACTCTTTGGGTGTTACTGCACGTAGCAGCACAGAGAGACTACGAGTTACACTCTCTCGACTTCTCCACTGCTTTCCTTCAGGGTAGCCTACACGAGGAGGTCTGGCTGCGTCGTCCCTCTGCCTTCACCGGCACTTTCCCTCCTGGGACCCAGTGGAGGCTGAGGCGACCGGTCTACGGCCTCCGTCAGGCTCCTCGTGAGTGGCACGACACCCTTCGTTCTACCCTGTCTGACCTCGGTTTCCAGCTGGCTTCTGCCGACACGTCTCTTTGTTCGGCGTGGCTCCACACCGTTCTTTGTACTGGTCTACGTCGACGACCTCGTTTTCGCCACTGCTGACAGGGTTGCTTTGGCTGACGTAAAGCTCGAACTGCAGAAGAGACACACTTGCACTGACCTTGGTGAGTTGCGCCACTACCTTGGCCTTCATATCACCAGGGACAGAGCCGCTCGCACCATTTCACTCTCACAGTCACACATGGTGCAGCAGGTCCTTCAGCGGTTCGAGCCTCAACACTCCACAGTACAGCGCACACCTTTTGCTGTTGACCACAGACTCACTGGACCCTTCCCTGACGAGCCGTTTGAGCCTAGTGGTCCTTATGCAAAGCTTGTGGGCTGCCTCATGTACCTGATGACTTGTACTCGCCCGGACCTCGCCCTCCCTCTCAGCATCCTGGCTCGCTTTGTTGCACCAGGGAGACACCGTCCAGTTCACTGGACAGCTGATGTGAGGGTGGCGAAGTACCTAGCGATGACATCAGGCGTGGGGCTGGTTCTTGGAGGGCAGCAGTCTGTTGTACTTACTGGACACTATGACTCTTCTTACGCTGACGACGCTGAGACTCACAGGTCTACTCAGGGGTACTGTTTCAGCCTGGGCACTGGAGCTGTTTCGTGGAGGTCCACGCGTTCCTCCTCGGTCTCTACCTCTACCGCTGAGGCTGATATCTACGCTGGAGCCATGGCTGCACAGGAGCTTCGTTGGTTGACCTTCTTGCTCACCGACCTTGGTGAGCAGCCGAGATTTGCACCGACCTTGTTCACTGACAACAAGGCGTCGATTCTCCTCTGTCGAGAGCCGCGACTGGAGAGCAGAGTGAAGCACATCAACGTCAGGTACTTTCTTCTGCGAGAGTTGCAGAGGCGTGGACAGGCTCGCTTCGACTTTGTGGAGTCCGAGGCCAACACTGCAGACATCTTCACCAAGGCGCTTCCGCCTTGTGACCACCAGAGGTGTTGTGTGCAGTTAGGTCTCGTTGACACATGTTCTCGCCTTGCGTAGGCTTGAGTTCTCTGCTTGCCTTGTTTGTACGCTTTATATATACCTCTGTGAACTCTTGAACTAGCCTTGTGGCTCTTTTGCTTGAGCTCGTAGTGTGTGGTGACGTTGTGATCCACCCTGAGCTTTGTTTCGTTGTGACTGGTCTTGTGACCGTACACTTTTGGTTTTGCTTGACCCCCTTCACTTAGACTATGGGGGTATGTCAAATGTGGTAGTCTTAGTGATGTGTGTTATAGGGTTAGGTTTATGTACCCCAACCAACCTTAGTCAAACCAACACTTTCATTCTTGACAGCGGGCTGAGCGTGGGCTCGCGCTAGGTTAGGTCGCGGCCTCTAGGGTTGCGCGGAAACGGGCTAGGAGGGAGGGCGGAACCTAGGGCGTGAGGCGCCACGGACGGAGGGAGCTAGGCTAGGCGAGGCGAGGGAACGAACCTACGGAGCGACGGAGCGGTCTTAGGCTAGGCTAGGTTAGGAGCGTACCTACTCATGATACCATCTCAGAAGTAGAAGCAACGGAATGATGTGACTAGGAAAGCAAGGCAGTACAAATGTGAAACCCTAACTGAGTTGTAATCACTAAGGAGCACCTCACTGCAGCCTATAACAAACAATAACATTTGACAGGTACTTCGTCGGTATCAGATGAAAACGTATGCGATGTCTGGAATTTCAGATGGAATATAACACTTATACTTTTTTTTTGTTTTTTCAGATGAAATAAGATCGTCCGTCTGATGGTTCAGATGAAATAAAGTCGGTGGTCTGAAAAAACGGATGAAACAAAAAAGGGCCTTGAGCGCATCCCCTAAAAGGGCGTGATTTATTAGAAGCGCGGTTGCGCTTATATCCTAGGTAACACGGTAGTACCGTTTTGAGTTGTATTGCGTACGGTTTGTTGTTTGCCTCTTGACTAAAGCTGGACTAGTAGTGCCGCCCTAAGCTGTTTCCCATTTTCTAGAAACTGTCCTTTACCTAACCTAGGGGGTGTGTCAATATACCCTTATGCATTTGCATGTATCTTCTTCATGCTAGGTTGGGTTACACTGTAGAGGGTACAGGTTTGCTGCTTATACCCCCCTTCTGTTTGGCCTCATTGACCATTCTCAATTTATGACAGTTTTGATGTGCAGTATCGAAAATTCGTTACATTTCAGTGGTTTGGTGCTATAGCAAAGTACATGTTTGGTACTGTTAAAAGCGCACAGTTAGCAAATTTTTGTTAGAAAGGTACATATCGGTAAAAGGCGGCGCGCGAAAGGTCACCGCCGGTGTCCGCCTCGGGGATTGCCGCAATGAAGTCGCCAGTCCCCCCTGCCCTGAAGCCAGCGCCCCCGATCGCTGGTGTCTCTGCGCCTCCGGCTCCGGACCTCGAGACGTGTGGGGCTCCATTGTCTCCCCTGCCTGCCCCGTCGGCCCTTGTTGCTGAGCCGGGCCATCCTGCTCCTGTTGCGGGTCCCGCGCCAGGTGCTCCTGATCCGCCGGTTGTCCCTGTGAATCCTGCGGCGCCGCTCGCCGCTGTCGATCCTGGTGTTGCGCCGCCCGTGCCTGAGCTCCCTGCGGCGCTCCCCGCCGTGGTTGTCCCTGTTGCGACCGACGCGGCTGTTGGTTCGTCGCCGATGGCGGTGTCCGCCACCACTGGCGGCCAGGGCCCGACTGTGGCGCCAGCGGGGGCCGTCCAGCCGGTCCTTGTTGCTGCATCTGCGGGTCATCAGCAGGGCCAACGCTCCTCTCGCCCGCATTCTCCTGCGCCCCGTGAGGAGCGGGAGTCGTCACGACGCCGCCGCGATTCCCCCCAGCGTAACCGCTCGAAGGCGAACTGGCATGCGGAACATGGCGGTCGTGGGGGATGGGCGGGAGGTCGTGGTTATGGCGGCGGCTCGGCGTATGTTCAGCCGATCTCGCTGGCGGATGTGCAGCGTGTTGTCTCAGCGGCGATACGTGAGGAGAGGGCGGTGCAGCGCCGTGCTCCTGCTTCAGCCGCTCCTCCTCCGGCCGTTCCTCCCGTGGCTGCGGCTCTGCCCCGTCAGGCTGTTGCCCCCGTTCCTCTTGCTCCTGCTCCGGCTCCTTCCGTCCCTGCCGCGTCTGCACCCGCACGGGATCGTCGCTTGCGGCTACCATGGGTTCCCCCGGTGGCAGGATTGGAATTTGTGACTGCGGCAGGAGGAGCGGCGACGGCACAGTACCCGCCTCTGCTGCCTGCTGATCCAGCGCCCCCATCTGCTCTTGATGCACCACTCCCGACCTTGCCTGGGCCCCCTCGCATGGCTAAAGTCCCGGAGGCGAGCCTGGCGCAGTTGTGGCGGCTCTGTGAGGCCCTTCGCGCCGTTCACCTGATCCAGGTGTACAGTCACGCTGCTCTGTTCCAGGGGAATTCCCTGGACGGAGGCCCTCGGGACGAGTGCCTCGATGCGGCGGATCGGCTCGCCGATATCCTGGCGCCCGTGCTGGCTGCGCCCGCGCGGGGTGTAATTGCGGGTGTTGGGCAGCTTGGTACGGCTGTCCGAGGGTTGAAGCGGGTCCTGCGCGCTGGTACTGGCGACGAAGTGATCGGCGCAAGCGCGGCGGTGGTGTGGGAGATTCACCGCTCTCAGACTGGGCTCCTTGCGGTTCATGACGCGGATCAGTTCTAGTATCCGCCGGGGCTTCTTCCCCGTTTGCTTTCTCCCGTTGCCCCATTTACTCCCCGTTAGTTGTACTCCACAGTCGCCATCCGTGTATGCAGATGCTATAATTGCTCTTGATGTCTCTTGCGCGCTTGCCGTCCCCTCATGCGCGGCCGAAGGCCGCGCTGTCGAGCGTCGGCCGCCGAAGGCGGCCGGCGCGAGCGATAAATTTCTGAACCAACATTGAATAATGAGGAAGAGAGGCCAAGAGATGCCTCTTAAGTAGCTCACTGGAGTAGAGGGCAGAGGGCTAAGGGAGAGGGCAAAGGCAAGGACCCTCTCTCTCTCTCTCTCTTTCTCTCACTCCTCTGACTTTCCAGTTTTCTCTGCGTTTTTCTTCCCCCTCTCCTTCCTTCAACCGTAATTCTTTACCGTCGTTGTCATCTCTATCATTGCCTTATATAAATGTCATATTTAGCTAATCCTTATTCGTCTTAACGGCTGTAACATTACTCAGAGTTGCCAACAGAGCATGAGCATCATGTTCAGTCTCTTTGACGACGAAAATTTTTGTTTAGTTAGAGTAGCAATTTATTTACGAATTCTGGTTTCATCTAAACTACCGTTTTGTTTTTACTAGTTCACGATAATCTGGTTTCGACTATAAGAGACTGGCAAGCCTTTGAGGAAACAACTCACACATAGTTCTCTCTTTCTCGTGCCAAGTACCGTACTAATCTCCGTTATAGGCTGCAGCAGATCAGTACTTGGTTTGTAGATTCTTTTTTGTTGTTTTTGTTTTCTCGTGTTTTCCCTTCCGTTCTGCTTCGATTTACGTGATTTTGTATTGTATTCGTCTTTCAATTTGGCGGTTTGTTCTTGCGTCGGTGATGCGCTGCCTTCTCTTCTGCTCCCTTGTTTTGCTTTCCCATTTCCTCTACATCGAATATCATATTGCACCTTTCAGGAAGCCAAGTTCAGTCTGCAAAGTGGGAAGAGTAGTGGTGATTTGCAGAATTCATTTTTATTATATTTGTTGTTTTTGTTTTGCACCTTCTATTGTTATTGTTTTGACTTTGTTCTGGTGTGAGTTGGGGTTTTTGTGTGTGTACGTGTATTCATCTATACTCATTCACTCATTGCATTGACAATGCATGTCTGTGGGTCTTAAAAACTTGATCAGCCTATCATTTTCAAGAACGTTCTTTGCGCACTCAGTGAGTGTGTCCACTTGAACGGGATTTGATAGAACTGATCATTTTTTTAGGATACACAGATTGTGTTGTATTCATGTGATATTTGTATGACTTAAATGCTAGGCTATTGACTTCCCCCCCATGCTAGGCAGGGGATGCGGTAGCCTAGTTGTCTAGGTCTTATAACTATCACGCATTTCTATCATTTAGTGGCATACATACTGCAGTAACATGTACCATACTATTATGCATTCTACTACGCATCATATTCATGCATTATGCAATCATTATTTAAAACCATCATACTAATATACGCATTACTGGATTCACAGCCACAAAGTAGGCAAAAGGTTAACATACAGACGGAACGGAGCATATGGCCACATACGTATCACAACAAGTATAGTAAGGTAGCCATTGAAGTAGTTCTCGTTGTTTTTTTTTTCGAATTTTAATTTTACAAAATATGAAAAAAAAATGAACATAACGATTGTAATAGGTTGCTTCGCAAAAAAAATGAACATAACAAAAAAAAAAAAAAAAACACTGAGCGCCCTGTTGCCTAGCGCGCTGCTGATGCACACACTGCTACTGCTGCGCTGTGCCCTGCTGAGCAGCGCTGCCCAGGCCGAGCCGCGCCGCCCAGCCCGAGCCGCCCTCCTGCTGCTCGTGCTACTGCTGCTGCTGGTGGAGGTGCTGCTGGGAGTGCTGGATGAGCCGCCGCCCAGCCCCACCGAGCCGCCATGCTGCTACTACTGCTGCTGCTGCTGCTGCTCGTGCTACTGCCGCTGCTGGTGGAGGTGCGGCTGGGAGTACTGGAGGTGCTGGACCTACTACTGACCGTCACTGCCTGTCATGACCACTATCACGGCAGTTGCAACGGCTAGGGGTGGACAGCAGCGGTCACTGCCTCTCCCGGACGACCCCACCCCTCAGCAGCTTCGTGAGTGGGTTATTCAGCGAGGCCGTCCTGGTGGGGGAGGTATCGTTATGTGAAGGCTGCTGCTCTTGGTGCTAATGAGTATGCTGCCACTCTAGGTGCTAGTGCGTCTGCTGCCACTCTAGGTGCTAGTGTCGCTGCGGCGACAGGTGCTAGTGAGTCTGCTGCCACTCCAGGTGCTAGTGAGTCTGCTGCCTCTCTAGGTGCTAGTGTCGCTGCGGCCACAGGTGCTAGTGAGTCTGCTGCCTCCGAGGCCTTGCACACTTTCACACTTGACTCAGGCGCGTCACGTTGCTTCTTTCGTGACTACACCACACTCACACCACTTGCTGCACCGGTATCAGTCTCACTGGCTGACCCCACTGGGGGTCCAGTAGTCGCACGAGCCTCAACTGTCCTCCCGTGTCCAGCAGTCCCCTCCGGTTCTCTGTCAGGTCTCCACCTCCCCACGTTCTCGACGAACTTGGTGAGCAACGCTGCCATTCAGGATGTCTGGGTTGATACCTTTATTCCTGGAGGGCAGCGTGTGGCGATCTGTACGTGCTCCCGGACTGGCCGTCACCTTGCTACGTTCACTCGACGGCCTGGGTCTAGTCTGTACACACTAACCACTGCTTCTGCACAGGTGGCTCACTCAGGTCAGGTGGCTGCGTCGAGTCAGGTGTCTGTGTCTGGTCAGCTTGCAGCGTCTTGCTCGTGTCGGGTACTCTCCCACCAGACTCTCCTCTGGCACCACCGCCTCGGTCACCCCTCCCTGCCGCGTCTCCGCAGCATGCACTCCCGTCTCCTTGTCTCTGGCCTTCCCAGGTCCCTGCCCTCCCTCCCGCGCTCGCCTGCCCCGCCGTGCCTCCCCTGCGTCGAGGGGCGGCAGCGCGCCGCTCCTCACTCCTCCGAGTTCCCTCCAACCACTGCTCCTATGCAGACACTCCATATGGACGTTTGGGGCCCAGCCCCCGTCGGTGGAACGGACCAGGAGCGCTACTTCCTGCTGGTTGTTGACGACTACACACGCTACACCACAGTCTTCCTCTTGCGGCGCAAGGCGGACGTCGGCGGTGTTTTGATCCCCTGGATCCGTGCTACTCGTCGCCAGCTGCGCGAGCGGTTTCGGCGGGACTTCCCAGTCCTGCGTCTGCACTCTGACAGGGGCGGTGAGTTCTCTTCTGACCTCCTTGCAGAGTTCTGTCGAGATCAGGGCATCCGCCAGTCGTTCACGCTTCCGGCCTCTCCTCAGCAAAATGGGATTGCTGAGCGTCGCATTGGCTTGATCATGGAGGTTGCTCGTACCTCCATGATCCATGCGGCTGCTCCCCATTTTCTGTGGCCGTTTGCGGTCCGATACGCTGCGCATCAGCTCAACCTCTGAGCCAGAGACCTCACCCACACTCCGGTGGACGGGGAAGGTTGGCGATGCGTCGGTGTTTCGGGTCTGGGGCGCGCTCTCCCTTGTTCGCGATGCCAAAGCGAGCAAGCTCTCCTCTCGCACTCTCCGCTGCATCTTCCTTGGCTTCCCCACTGACGCCCCACCGTGGCAGTTCTACTACCCGCGTGAGCGTCGAATCTTCTCCTCCCAGGACGTCACATTTGACGAGTCTATCTGTTTCTACAGACTACACCTGCACGCGTCCCACCCGGTCCCCCTCGCGCCTCTCTTCCTGGTACCAGTCCCCCCCCCGGTAGACCCACTCCCCCCACAGGGTCCTGCTCCCTCAGGTGTGTCTCAGGTAGACCCACCCCACTTGGATGAGCTAGTGGAGATCTCTTCTGACTCCTCCGGCCCACCTGAGGGGGGTGACCCCGCCGCAGACGACACGGCGGCCACTCGCCGCTCTACACGCTTATAACCGTCGTGTCGACTCTGAGATATCCTTCACGTTTGACAACCGTCAAGCTTCAGCTCCTGCGCACGACAATCAACAACGCGCACATACAGAGGCAATTGCAACCATGCAAAACAAAAATTGTTCTGACATCAAAGCTGAAGACCTCAACCCTATTCGACGGAAATGATTTCCACACGTGGAGCTTCGAGTTTGAACTCCTCGCAACAACCGCGCAATCTTGGATGTACTACGACGGGAGCTTACCTTTTCCAACAGAAGGAACTCTCCAGGAGAAGAACCAGTTTTACCACTGTGAAAGATAGAACGAGGAATGAATGAACTAGCAAGCAGGTGGGTACAAATAGGAAACCCTAAAAGTGTTGTACCCCATATGAGCTACCCTACTACAGCCTACATAGACTATAGCATATAAGTTTGACACACCCCCATAAGCAAAGTGGGGGAGAACAAGAGGTCACAAGACCAGTCAAGAAAAGCAAAGCAAGCTCAGGGTGGATCACGAAGTCACCACGCATTCTGAGCACAAGCAAATGGCCACAAGGTCAGTTCACATGCAGAGTTATATAAAGGAGAACAAGCAATACAGTGATCACAACCTAGCAAGTGTAAGCATGCAGGTATATGTATAGAGATCACAGTACAAGCAAAGTCAAGAAATGAGCAAGTGAGGCCAAGTGGGCACAAGGCCTAGAACAGTACAGAAACGCTGATGATCACAAGGCTGAAGTGCCTTGGTGAAGATATCAGCAGTGTTGGCCCGAGTGGCCACGTAAGCAAGACGAAGCTGACCACGCTGCTGCAACTCTCGAGCAAGGAAGTAGCGCAGAGCGATGTGCTTCGTTCTGTGCTCCAGTCTGTGCTCCTGACACAAGGCAATCATGGCCTTGTTGTCGACGTACAGAACTGGAGGAGAACGAGGCGGCTCTCCCAGGTCGGTCAGCAGGTAGGTGAGCCAGCGTAACTCCTGTGCAGCCATGGCCCCTGCGTAGATCTCAGCCTCACAGCTGGAGCTGAGAACAGAAGACGAGCCGGTAGACCGCCACGAAA